GCCTTGCTCTGGGCGCTCTCCCTCGCTCTCGCTCGCTCTCGCCGGCGCCCAGGAGTTATTGAACTTTCTTGGAAAGTTGAGGCGTGGTGCAGTCAGCACGAGGAGGAGGAGGAGGAGGAGGAGGAGAAGCGGCGCAGAGCCTCGGCCACTGCCTGGCTCTTCCTAGGGCGAGCGGCTCCTCTCGGGTTCCTCCAATTCCGCCCATGACGTCACGGCCATCGCCGCTCGCCTGCTCGCCGCTTATTATAAAACCTCTTTAAGGCTCGGGATTTTTCCCCCATTTTAAAAATATTCCTTATTTATTTATTTGTTTGTTTTATTTAAGGCCGCCGTCGAGTAATGGTCTCCTATTGGTGGACACCGCGGCCGAACCTGACGCTCGGCAGTTGGCAGCCAATGAGAAGGAAGAAAGACGGGAGAAAGCGCGGGGAGGGGAGGCCGGGGGCCTCGTCAGTTTCCGAACTGGAACTGTTCTTTTTTAGAACCTTTAGGATTCCTCCCTCCCTTCCTCTCCCCATTTCGGTATCCGAATATAAATGGATGATTATTATTATCTCTGGCGTGTCAATAGTGATCAGTTAGATAGTAGAAATCAGGGAAGGGAGGGGGGAAAGAAGGGAGGGAGGAAGGAAGGAAGGAATTTAAGAGAATATTCACGTGTAAGAAAGAGTGTGTGCTATTTCGAGTTGTGAAGTCTCATGTATTCGAGATCATTACAGAAATGATATACACAACCTATTTCTCTCCTCAAAAGGGGATGTAAGTTCAAATTAGCTTTCCAGGGGTTATTTAGTGCGTCCTCCCATTCTGGTCCTTCTCTGGAGGATCAGAAATGTTTGACACAACAGTCCCGGGCAGGAGACAGCGATCCAACTTCACTGAACAACTAGGGAAATAAGGGCGGGACCGGGCAAAATGATACTTGGAGCCAACTGGGGAAAACGCCTGGCTCCGTTTCCTCAGGGGCGGGGAGGGGAAAAGGAAGTTGCTCCTGGAAAGGCAAAAGAGGTCTCGGGCTAGAACCGGCACGCCTGTTAATTTGGAGAAGAATTTAAGGGAGGAGGCGGACAGCGGTGGCCAAGTTGGGTGGTTCTTCTTCCCCCGTGAGACTTCAGTCTGGGGCTTAGAGAGCCGGCTCTGGGTCTTCATTCAGCGAGTTATTTTACTCATCCATCCATCCATTCCTCCCCCACCTCCCTTTCCTCTCGGTCTCGGTTTTGCTTTGCCCGACTGCTGTTTCCAGTGCCTCTTATTTGCTACCGGCACAGTTAAGGCCGAGGCGCCTCGCACTTCGGGGGAAACCAAAGTCGTCGCTTTGTCGAAGAGTCTCAGCTTGCGTTCATCTGTCTCTAGGACGACGCGGTTCGAACCTGTCCCTTGTTGAATGTCAGAGTAATGGGAAGTGCCAGTGACAAGACGCCGTATTGCTCCTCCTGATTAAGTACCGTCAACCTAATTAGCAGAGCAATTATAAGGTGCTAATGAATGATTCAAAGTTCGGCGAGTTGCGTTTTACTCCGAATTACTCCGTTTTTAAGGAACTGATGAATCGAAAGGAAACTAACTGTTACGGCAAGGAAGGCGCTTTATCCCTTACAGCCTCCCCCCCCCCCGCCCCGCGGTTTCCATCGCCTGCTTTTTTTTCCTTCTGTCTCTTTGCTTCTTTTCTTTCCTCAAACAGCACGTTTAAACCTGCGGCGGGGGTCTTTCCAGAAAAAAGAGAAATAAACCTATTCATGTAAAATAGATGGGCAGGGGAATTAAAAGTAAATAGATAGGGGGTCTGTGTGTGTGTGTGTGTGTTCCCTTAAAAAAATAGGGGAATATAATTTAAAAGGGTTTGGAGAGAGGCCGAGTTCGGCACCTGCATCTCTGCGAGTTCAGAGAATGAAATCGGAGGATTCTCAAGGTTCACTGTGGTAGGTAGTTCAAGATTTGGGGGAAGAGGGGAAAGATCGGTTAAGTTTCAAGGGACATCGGCCAGTTTAAAAATACTGTTCTGACACCCCTCGGGTTGGGGGTGGGGGGTTGGAGGAAGAGGGGAAGACCAGAGAAAAGGAAAAGACAAGTCAGCCCGGGAAGGGAAGCAAATACCTGAATGAGATTTCTCCCATCCTTCGGGACAGGGGTCTGCAAAGGTTTGCCTGTAGCCGGATGCTAAGGCAAGGCGACTTCGGACGACTTCCAATCGCTCGATGAACCCCCCTCCGTCTTGTTTCGGTGCCTCCAGAGCTTTCTCCCTGTGTTCTCCCCCAGTGACATTCTCCTATCTCGGGTCAAGCTGAGAAAGGCTTGTAATTATGGTGGGTGGGTTGCTGGGTGAGGCAGAAAGCCGCCGGGAAGTTCAACGTTGCTTCCCCTTCGGCGATATTTTCCCAAGAACAAGCAAGTGCGAGAAGGAGATGCTTCGGTAAAATTCAGGACTTTATCCTTTAAAATGAATAAAAAGATTAGGGGCGGGGGAGTTATGCGAGAGGGAGACACGCACAGAGACACAGAGAATTGCAATTTGGCTGCACCAGTATAGGTCTTTTTTGCCCTTTCCCTTTTCAACTGTGAGAGAGACGCCAGCACACTTGCTACTGTGGATCAACTTCCCTCCGAAAATATTTTCCAAGAAAGGGTTAGATAACCATGTTCTGAATTTCCAACATAGGCTACGGCTTTCTTTCTTCGGTGGTCCAAATTGACATATATTTAAAATCATACTATCCTTTCAGAACGAATTCTTCGAAGTGTTCATTGCTTGAGCATAAGCAAGTTTTCTTTTTGGAACAAGAAAAAAGAAAGAAAGAAAGAAAGAAAGAAAGAGGCAAGAAAAGGAATGCAATTCAGTCGAGAGAAGCAGAGATTGATCTGCTAGCCATGTATCTATGTGTTTGTTTTGAAAGTCTGCTTTAGAAGATTCAGAGGCAGTTTGGATTTGTTTTAAACTCTGAAGATGTCAGGAGGGGAACGTGGACAACACAAAAAGAGATAGTTGGGGAAATAAGCACGTTTAAAGCTGTCCACTTTATCCCCATTTAAATATTTATGAAGAAGGACGTTTTATTGGGGAGGATTTAAAAAATGCTTCAGAAGGAAAGTTTGAAACGGAAAAGTCAAAACGAAATCCTTCAGAAGGTAGCACTCCCTGACACGCCAGCGAGGGAGAGATGCCAAGTTTGGGATCTCTGGTCTTCCGTGGAGCAATGGGTTTGCACATTTCACTTGCAGACAGACCAAATGTATCGTTTCTTGGTGGCAATGCGGGACAGATTTGAAAGAGAGGTTTTGTTTCGTTCCCGCAATTTTTCTCTGAATTTGCGGTGAATTTGGAGCCAAATGGGTGGATATGGCTTATCGTTTCAACCGGATATGAGGTTTGGTGGACATTTTGGGAATTGCTATCCAAAATCTTTATTTGTCACAAAAGCTTACATTGTATCTGTGTGCTTTTCACATTTATTTACCTACCGCTAGGAGAAAGGGAGGTGAAAAATATTAGGACTGAATATGCCAGAGATTTATATATATTTTCAGATGCAGACGGATATATAGCTCGTATTTTTGTTTGTGCCTTGGGGTTATTTTGAATATAACCTCGTGGATTCACTCCGTGGTTTGTTTATCTGTTTCACTGTTTCTCCCTTTTAGGAGAATGACTGGACACCGCAGGCAGTAAAAGAAGTTTTGCTGTTTAGATCCCAATCTGAACGTCCACCTCCAGAGCCTGTGGACAATAGAAAACCCCGCTAGTCACTCTTCCCTCCCAAATTTGGATTAACCTAGTTTTCTAGTTTAACCTAAAGAAAAATGTGATGAATGCTTTAATTCAATTCCTGGTCATTTGTGCCAATTACCCAATCCCAGCTATGCCGATTCAAAACTAACATCCATAAAATTCTCTCTCAGGTGTTGCACAACATTGCAGCCTAAAGATGCTCAGGAAGAGAGAATTCTGTTGGAGCAAATAAACGGGATTCATCTATTTAAACACACTACTTAACAGTTGTATGCTTTTTGTTTTGTTTTATTTTGTTTTAGCAAAATGCACTCGCTGGCAGGAAGACCCTTTCTTGAGCTTTGACTTTCGAATTTGCACAGTGCATAGCGTTCCATCATGAGACTTAATATGCTCCCCTATATCCCAGCCAGAAGAAAGACTATTCTGTACCCAGCTCCTAAATTCTCTTAACAGATATTAATTTTTCTAAAGTAATTATTTCCAAAAAGTTCGTTTAAACCTCACTACAACAAGAAAAAGGTGTTGGAAAGGAAAGGGATTTTAATGGGCAGTCCAGGCACGTAATGCTATGTGGCTGCATCTCCTCTTTTTAAAATAAAGTTTTGGGAATCGCTGTCCAAATTGCTTCTAGAGAGCTGCAATTACGCGTCTTGCCACAAGGCGGCGACAATAGAGGCCTCTATTGTCTTCAGAAAGCTCTCGGTCTGACTACGAAGAGTGAGAGCTACAAAAGAGGTACTTTTACAGTTTCCTTTCCTTTCCTTTCCTTTCCTTTCGCTAATAGTTAAATATGCCTAGCAAAGAAACAAAAGCATGTGCTTTTAAATCAACGTTTCACAA